CCCTCCTAGCTTCCTCCCCTCCCGTGCTGCACCCCCCCCCCCCACCTCCCGGGGTCCCTCCAGGCCTCTCTTGACACCCTTCCACCTGCAACCTCCACTGGCCCATCTGCACCGCTCCACTCTTAGGGTCTGCGCACTGGATTCCCCGAGCCACGTACACCATCTCCCTATCTCTCCCCGCTTCCTCCACCGGACCCCAGGTCCCCTGGGAATTCTCCGTGGGCCCATGCGCTTGGGCACCTGGCTTGCAAACCCATCGCTCCCTGCCCGCCCCGCAGGCGCCGGCTGCCCTGTTGATTCCCAGATGCCCCCAGGCCTCTGTGATCCCCAGCCCCGCCCCGTGCGACCCAGGACAGGCGGAGACGACAGTCCTCAGCCCACAGCTAAGGCCCAGATGCGAGCACACTCAGACCAGAGCGGCCTGTGCCTGCTCAGGATGAACGTGCCCCAGGGAGGCCCAGGCCCGCGTGGACAGAGCTGGGGCAGTGAGCCCGACGGGCCCAGCCCCCGGGCTGAGCTCTGTGGGGCTGGAGCTTGGGGAGCCCCGCCGGTGCGATCTAGGGCACCACCAACCTCGGTGCCGCCGCCTCCCCGAGGCCCATTCGGTAGCTTCCGGTGGGGCGCAAAGGACGACACCTCTTGGTCGGCGGAAGCCAGGAAAGGCTGGGCTGCAAGCGGAGTCCCGCCAACCTGACTTGTTTCTGAGGCCGCCCCGGGGCGGGGCGAGCGCTTTTCTGCTGGGGAAACTGAGGCTCTGCACTCTCACTAGTGTCTAACTCGCATGCAGCCCCGCACCCCTGTCCCGTGCGCGGTGTTCCGGGGCCCACTGCCGCGTCTGGAAGCACGGAGCACTCGGCACACACTCTCCCGGAATAAGTTCACACACTCCTGGCATTTGAAGAATCCTCCCCGGCCCCCTGCCGGTCTGACGTGCAAAAGCCGGGTGACCGGAAAAGCAGCGGCCGCTTCTTACCCTGGTGGAATCCCCGCGCGGAGCCCGCACACTGCCAAGCTCATCCACGCTGGTGGGTTGGTGCAATCACTGAAGAGACGATGCTGAACGGTTCCAACGGTGCGTTTACAAATCCGGTTATTTTAAGGGACCATTTCTGCTTTTTTAAGTCTAAACAGCGCCCGTGTACACACACACACACACACACACACACACACACACACACACAAGCACTCAGGCACTGCCACTTATTCTCTATGAGTTTATTTCTATTACACAAGAATCATGGAATTTGGTGTTGCAGCAGGATTGTCTTTTTAAAAATACAAACAACTTTTATTGTTGCGAACCACTAATTTGGCAACATCTCTTTTCTTTAATCAGACTTAGCTGCAGGCCCGGCTGCTGAGGGAGGAGGGAGATTCCCCACCTCGTTGGATTCAGCTTTGCTGATCTTTATGTACTAGGGTTCCTGTCTATTTCTGTCTTGAGTTCCTACTGGATGTTACCTGGGATGTAGGGAAGTCTCTGGCAGGTGGATGCTGCAGGAATGTCTTGCAGGTGAAAGGAGATCGTGGGGGGGCACCTAGAAGGGGAGTGCTTGTTTGGGGACAAACAGGGGGGCTTCAGGAGCCAAGAGACAACCTCCAGAATGTATGGGAGGTTGGCCAGCGGCAGCCTCTGTGAGGACTTTCAATTCTGAGAGTAAAGGATACAATTCATTGATTCTCAGACAAAGCCCTGAAGTGAAATTTCTCAAGGGGTTGGGGTCTAAGAGCCACTCTCTGTCTCACCTCTCTCCCATTCCCTCTTCTCTGTCCTGGGCCATCGTGAGTGAAAAGAGCAGGAACCTCCTGCTCTTCATGTGCCACATCCTGTTTTCAGATTAGTGAGCTCATTTGCTGGAAATTTACCAAGGGAAAATAGTTTAATTTTGGAAAGTACCAAAAACTTATCTGTAGTCACTCAGTTTAATTTTGACGGCTCTTCAAATAGAGGGGGCATCACCAAAGGATCTCCGAGTGCCCAGGGCACAGAGAAGCTACAGAAATTGAAAGCCAAGTCCTGTGAGGTTGAACCTGATTTAAAAGGGAAATAAACCCTTTTGGAGACCACTGATCTCTACCCAGTAGAACTTTTTTCCCCCTAAAAATAAATTTAGAAAAGAGAAACAGCCCCTTTGTTCAAGTCTGAGCATGAGGCCAGGATTGAGGAACAAGATAGCGAATAACACAGTAGGTAATGTTTGACCCTCAGCCTTGTTTCGTATCCACATCTGTTCAGAGTGTGCTCAGAAGCACCTGAAAGCTTTCACTCTCTAGTTTTGCCGCAGTCCTGCAGCTGCCAGACCCTTGCTGTTGATGTGACCTGCCTTGCCTGGAGACCCACAGCTCCTACAAAGAAGCTCAGCAGGGACATTTCTGGAAAACAAGAGGTCTGGGAGCCTGCACCGAAGATGGGAAAAGTGAATTCCCTGAGGCTGGCCACCTCCTGCCCTGCCCAGCTTTAGCGTGAGATTCAGAATCCAAGAGGAGATGCAGAATAGTGAAAAGATGCAGAATGGTGAAAACAGAAAAGGCCCTGACTGTTGAATGCTGAGATGAACAGAATTGCATCTTCCTTTCCTCTCCTAGTCCTGTCTGAAATCTGTATTGATTTTAGAGTTAAGAGATTTGTATTACATTTGTTTTCTCCAGACAATCAGCTGATTTTTGGGGATGGGGGCAAATAAATGTTTGCCTAAGTAATAAGTTAGGACACACACACACACACACACACACACACACACACACACACACGTTTTTTTTTTAAAGAACAAGACGACCGGAGAACCATGCCTGCGCCCGACCCAGCAGCCATCGCTCAAGCGCCGGGAAGGTAGCCGCGCAGGTGCCCCTGAACCCCCATAAGCTCCCCCGCCCCGCACTCTCAGACCTCCTGACTGTGCAAGTCTTTGGACCCACTCTGCAAAGACAGAGGTGGTCATCAAGGGTATTTTTCTGAGTTCCCAACTTTGAACATCTTTAAAGAAAGGGCGTGGGAAACCTGTAATAGAACGTTGCGGATGGAGTTCAACCATTCAGAAGGATGGGGAACTCAATCTGGGCCTTGCAGCCCGAGGTCAGTCAGCGTCATGGGGTTCAGCAATCAGCTAACTGAGATCAGGGGTCTTGCATCCTCGCTCTGTCTGAGCCATTAAATGGTAAATATACTATATTGAAAAGTTTGTTCACTGCAGACATGTTCTGGACTGCTTCTTGATTTCAATTTAATTCAAATGATTTAAGGGTGATAGACTAGTGACTACCACAGGTGGTCAGTGTCCAAGTTGTGCTTGATCTTAATGTGTTGCTGATTGTATCAGTTGGGGTAAAGCATTGCCGTTGATTTGATGAGCTGTTTTCTCTGATGTTATGAAGATGAGAATGTCTGTGGGTCGTTAGAGACACAGAAGCTAGGGTGCAACTATATCAGGAAGATTTGGGTGATAATCCAGAGATTAAACCAAGGACAGTCCGACAACAAAAATTAAAATGAGAAAACACTTAAGCAAGACACAAGGACAGACTTCCAGTTCACCAATGGCAAACAGTAGGGCAAATGAGGATGAAAAGGCCGATAGTGAACCACCAGGACACCCTGAACTCAAAGCACAGGA